AGTAATAAATTCAATTAAGGCGAGGTTATACTGAATTAGGGAACCCTGAATCCAGTGACTGGAAGCTTCATGAGAAAGCCATGTGAAGACAGACGGACAGACAGACCACACACACACACACACACACACACACAGAGAGAGAGAGAGAGAGAGAGAGAGAGAGAGAGAGAGAGAAAAAGCACAAATGACAGGAACAGAGAAAGACACACAGAGATAGGGGGCAGAAAGATTCTGCCTGCCTGGAGCTGGCAGAGCAAGCAGGGTACGGCCAACACCCACCTGCATTGCAGACTTTCGGCTTCCAGAGCTACGAAGAACAAAGTATACCTGTCTTCAGCCACCCAGGATATGGAACTGAGTTCTGGAAGCCTCAGGGAAGCGGGATACTGAGCCAGAGATCTGCCTACTGACCCCAGAAGGACCAGACCACCACAACACAGCTCAAAGAGCAGGCTGCCTCTGGGTGTGGTGCTGCGGACCTGTGGTCCACTTACAGTGAGACCCTGCCACTAATGACGAGAAGAGGAAGGACAAACCACCAAGCAAAAGCTCCTTAGGATCAGTCACCTTCGACTTGGGGAAGCATGGTCTCGTTAAACAAGAAGAGCAGTGCAAAGGTCCATGGGGACGAAATGACAGCCATGTAATCATCTAAAACTCTGAGTAAAGCCAGATGTGTTAGCTCCTTTCCATAATCCCAGCACTTATCCTGAGGCAGGAGGGTTGCTTTCAGTTCAAGGCTAGTCTGGGATACAGAGTGAGACACTACCAAAAGCCAAAATAATAATAATAATAATAATAATAATAATAATAATAATAATAATAATAATAATAATAGAAAGTCAGTGGCTGAAACCGACCCAGGAAGTGTTTCCAAAAAGCATCAGTGAACTGCTCCCCACACACCACAGGACAGCCCCAGCTGGCAGAAGGGGACCCCCAAAGCAAAGAGCACTCAAGCTGGCTGCCCAGAGGAACTCTCCTGGGGAGCAGAGATAAGGCCAGGTTTGAACCTCAGAAGTCCTGCTTTGTAGTCATGCTCCTTGCGACCTCCCAGAGTGGTTGGTCAGCCAGGAGGGAGAGGTAGAAAGCCGTCCAATAGAAGACAGGCTGATAGGCTCTGTGTTTGCCTGCTTGTTTAGTACAATGTTTGGGGGCAGAGAGGGGTGGTAAGGGGAACCTGAACTTGCCCCAGACCACCAGGCTCTCAGGGTCAGGAAAACAGAGTTGATTCGAATGCACTGGTCTCTAGGAGTCTGGGTTGCAGAAGCCCCAGGCCTTCTGCAGGGTTCCTTGTCTGACCCAGAGCTAACAGTCAACACAACACACTCTGACCAAAGTGTGGGGCTTAGAGGGCACGTGGGTGTTCAGGAGGACCTGGGCAGTTTTATATTTTCTTTAAAAAGTCGTGTAGAAGGACAGGGGTGTGGTTTAGTTGGTGAAGTGCTCGCCTGGCATACACAAAGCCCTGGGTTTGACCCCCAGTACTGTGTGAATGGATAGGGTGGTACAAATCTGTAGTCCTGGCATTTGAGAGCTAGAGGCAGGACTACAAAGTCCAACTAGGCTACATGGCGAGTTCAGGGCTAGCCTAAGACATATGAAATCCTGTCTCAGAGAAAAGAAAATAATAATATAATAATAATAATAATACTACAGAATCCAAATGGCACACATTCTAATCTCAACGCTCGGAAAGCTGAGGCAGGAGCAATACGGTAAGTTCCAGGGCAGCCTGGTTATATAGTAAAAACCCTTCTCAATAAATAAAATTAAGTCATGCAGGATGGTAGGCAGAGGAAAAGGAACACTAACGAATTTACAGGACAGGTGACATGGCCAGGCCAGAGCAGATCTACAAATCACCAAGCCCCAGGGGCTTCGACAGAAGGGTGGAAAAGGAGTCAGGGCCCGCCCTTGCCAAGGTCGGCAGAGCACAGACACACACCTGTATGTGTGTGCAAACACCAGTTGATGGAATATACAAAGGGCCAAGAGCCAGCTGGCCACCCTGAGGCAGCTCAAGGTGGAAGAAAGCAGTTGGCAAGGAGGGAGGGCATCTGGGCAGATCTGACCACAGGCACCGCTGAACCCTTCAGAAAATGTGTTCACCAGCTGCTGGTTTGGGCTTCATGTCTCCCTGGGACAGCATGTCAGATAAGAGCTAAAACCAGAGTTTATTAGGAGAGTCTAGACAGCAAATCCCCAGCCTGGGGGAACCTGACTGTGGGGGAGAAAGGATAGAGTTCCTGCTGCCTCAGATATAGAAGACGCAGAAGAAGCACCCATAGGAAAATGGTCTCAGTTGGGGACAGTGACTTCCACAACTGAGTCTCATGAACATTTAGAAGGTCTGAACTCAACAACCTGTTTCTATTAGGCATGGGGAGCCTAAGGTAGGCAGAGCTGATGGGAAGGCACAAGGCTCAGTTCTAGCCAATAAGAGCAAGGAATTCACTCTGAGCACAACTCCTGGTTAAGAGTCAATAATAAACAATAGTAAAGTCTCTCTCTCTCTCTCTCTCTCACACACACACACACACACACACACTTAAGGGCACTAAAAGGCTGCTGTGACTACTCTTTCTCACAGATTTTTCTAGAGCAGTTGTGGCCATACGTCTGCCACTGGAAGGAGCCACCAGAATAAGGACAGAAAAGAAAAAAATAAGGTGTGTGTGGGGAGGGGTGGCTTTAGAAAACAAGAAATGTGCTGAACTTGTATGTAGGTAACCTCAACAGCTGGAAGCCTGGACTACAAAGCCAGGCCCTCTGTAGGGGGTGAGGGGAGATCACCGAGGACCAGGACCTAGCTAGTCTCAGCTACATAGTAAATGTAAGGCTGGCTTGGACAATATAAGACCCTAACTCAAAATCCAAGAAAGGGAGGGAGGGAGAGAGAGAGAGAGAGAAAGAGAGAGAGAGAGAGAGAGAGAGAGAGAGAGAGAGAGAGAGAGAGAGAGGAAGAAAAGACCAATGAAGCATGACCCGAGTCTCCCAGATCCAGCCACACCTGAAGCCTGTCCCGGCATTGCTGTAGGAGCCGGATAACTCCCCTTAGTTCATGTTAAATTTTATTGCAAGTAACAAAAGGTCTAACCTAGAATTCAGGTGGACGGCAAAGGTCTGTAGAAATACCCTGCACTGTTGGGCTGTTGGTTCTGCTGGGAGACCAGTACACACGCTGCCCTCCCTTAGCTGGATGGTGGGCCAGTGCCTGGTGTTTGCCAGCTCTAACACTGCCGGCCCCAGAGACCTCCCGACTGGATGGACTTAACCCTTCTTAGGCAGTCGACTAACCAACTTAATCTTCCAAAGAGTGGTTTCCCAGTAAAAACAAATGAAGCCCTCAGAGAGACGGAGAGACCACAGAGGAAGGTGAAGTGAACCTGCCAGGACTGGAGGGATGGTCACGCTGGAGTAGTCCTCCCTATGAAATGTAAAACCCAAAGTAAATCTCTGGGGTCTCTTGTCAAGATACTGTGTGTCCCCGGGCTTTACCACCTACGCTCGAGTCTCATTCTTTAGTTCCAACTCCACCTTCCTGGGTTGCCCAAACTGAACCCAGAAAACAGTGGCTGGGAGCCAGGGACTGAGATATCAAGGTGTCAGAGGCGGGTTTTGCAGGTGCGGGCTCTGCAGACCTCCGTCGGGCGCGAGGCGGTGCTCGCCACAGTGCCTTTAAATAGAGCCTCCTTGCGGAGGGCAAACACATTCCAAGCGCTTTTAAAGACGCCCAAGCATGACCTGGCCAGCGGCCTTCGCTCCCCCAGCCATTTTTTCTCGGTCTCAACCCAATTCTGGAAATCATATTAATAGCTTGGTGAGACATTTTCGGTGTACAGACTACTTTGTGGCCTTAAAAGGCAAAGGTGGGGCTGGCGAGATGGCTCAGCCGGTAAAGACACTTGCTCTGACCACCTGTATGGTGGAGGGAGAGATCAAGTTGTCCTTTAAACTCCCGAGTGTGCCATGGTACTTTCTCACGCATACACACTCACAGTAAATAAATAAATGTGCCAGGCGGCGGTGGCACAGGTCTTTAATCCCAGCGCTTGGAAGACAGAAGCAGGCAAACCCTGTCTCGAAAATAAATAAATAAATGGATTTTTTTTTTTTTGAGACAAGGTGTCACTATGCAGCCATAGTTAGCCTCTGCTTCCCAAATCAAAATGCTGGAAAAGAAAACAAACCTAAAAACGGGGGGTGGGGGCGGGCAAGGGTCTTTACTGCTCTCCCTCCTCAGGTAGGGAAATGAGGCCAGAGAAAAGACCTCTCACATGACAGGACACCCATTGGGTCTCTGTATTCTCTCCTCTTCTGAAGGGTAATCCGGACGCTAGCAGCCACCATCCTAGTGACCGGTAGCAGGAACCAGTTCTGAACCAGCGGCATCTGCAACCCAACCGGCTGGAAGGGGTAACCGACTAGGCGACTACCTCAGGTGGCTCTCGGCCCCGCACTGGCTTAGGGGACGCTCGTGTCTCTTCCCGAATTGAAATCAACCAAGTTCCCAGCCTTGGGTTCATTCCTCAGACACGGTGCGCGAGACAAGGATTAACTTTCACCTTTGTTTTAAAAGATAATAGGCCAATCCAGCTAATTTCTCCCTGAGGGATAAAGTTAAGGTTGGCAGGTGAGGTGCGCCCCGGGCTCGCTTCCTAGAAGTTGCTCAGAGCAAATCTCTGGACCTGTGTGTGTGTGTGTGTGGGGGGGGAATGAGTGGAGGGGGCAGGGGATTCCAGAGAGTGAACTTTAGTGGGAACTTCTGAGCTCTGCCTGGGAAAGAGGGCTCCTAACTCTCAGATCCCTAGCATGGCTAAGTCCCTAATGGCGCGCAATCGACTCGTGCGCGCACGATCTGGCTGTACTGGACAAGATGCTCAGTGCACCTCTTGGACCCGTGTGTCTCCACCCCGCACCATCCCATGCGCGGCGTGTCTGCCCCTCGCCCTGTCCCAGGCCTCCCGTTCCTCGGGGGGCGCAAAGCGAGCGCTCACGTTTTAAACATGCTCTCCAGATCCTTGAGGAGGCGACGGCTGAACTCCGGGAACTCGGTGTAGGGGTTGAAGACCTTGCTGCGGCGGGACCGCACTATGCCCTGGTGGATGTCCAGCCTGCGGCTCAGCTTGGCGCTCAGCTCAGAATCCGCGTTGACCAAGGGTGCCTGGACAGGCAGTTCGGGCTCCCGGTTCCCTGCTGGGGCAGCGCAGGGTGTAGGCTGGGGGACGCCCTGGTCGATCTCTGCCATCGCCTCTAGTCTCAACCGGCGCTGTAGCTTGCGAGCCAGCTCCTCGCTAGACATGGTGACGGGTGATGGTGGTGGAGCTGGGTCGCGCGATCCAGCACCTGGACGCCGACGGCTGCGCGATCTTTGCCGGCTCGTGGCTTTGTGACGCTCGGCGCAGTCGCTCGGGACCCGGCGGTTGGGTAGAACCGCGGGTGGGCGGGGCGGGCAGGGCGGAGCTGCGGCTTTAAGGAGGCGCGGGAGCAGCAGGGTTGCCTGTTTGATAGGGCACAAGCGGGTGTCTGTGCGTCCTAGGGGTCGCGTCTGCCTAATCCTCCCTGAGGCTGGGGACTGGAGGCTGACCCGTCCCTCAGTCCAGGCATGGACCCTAAAATCAACTGATCTTGTCTCCAGAATCCACCCTCGGGGAACTGAGGGACTTCGTGGTCCCCAGGGGACCGGTAGCCAAGACTAGGGAGTTAAATTTGGCAACCGGTCAGGCAGTTCCATTCCTCCAGAAGCGCTCCAACCAGGGAGCTCATAGCCTGGGCAGCGGGAGAACTGGGCACGCCTAGTGACACCTCCGTGCCCCCACGTGGGTAGGGGGCAGTCACCATGCTGAGGCCCTGGAGGAGGAGCTGCCCCAGGCAGTGCGGGGCTGCTTCTCAAGTAGCACTGAAATGTTTGCACACGAAATTAAAAACACTAAACAAAATAATAAACAAATCGAGAAGAAGAAAAAAAAAACCCCTCCCGATTCCTGGGAAGTGAGATCAATGCAGCAAGTATCTTGGTTTTATGGCTTTGAAAAACAAAAACAAAAAACTCTGTGGAGGAAAGAAAAGGCTTGAAAATAAATAAGGCAACTTTTAAAACAAGAGATTGAAGTAAAAACAAGGGAGTAGAGCCGTCATTCTCCCTAAGGAAGAATGGTGAGAGTTGGGGTTACGTCAGCCAAGCACGGAGAAACAGCTTGTAAACACGGTAGTGGTTGCACTGGGGACCAGCTCTGCTCCGACCCTAGTGTTCTGAGGACTGGGATGTGTCCGTGCTGAGTCCAGCGCGCCTCAGAAAGGGATGAACTACTGGTAGCGGGTGCATCTTCGGGACCCGGGGGAGGGGGCGGTAATTCAGAGCCTACATCTGCTCTGATGAAATTGTAATTCGATTAGTTGGGTGTGGGGGGTACACGCCTATAACCCCAGCACTCCGGAGGCTCAGACAAGAGAATTCCAAGGCCAGAAGCCAGCCTGGGGTTCATAGCAAGACCCTCTGTTTCAAAACAAAGCAAAAAAAATTTACTGGAGGGAGGTATGACTCAATGACAGAGTCCCAGTGTTTAACGTGAAGGAGGGCCAGAGTTCAATCTCTAAGCTCACAAGCACAAAGTAAAATAAGTGTTCTTTAAATTCCATTCAAGAAAATAAGTCATTAAAATAAACGTCCTTTTCCTGGGCATGGTTACTCAAGCCTGTGATTCCAGCACTTGGAAGGTTGAGGCAGGAGGATCATAGCATACTATACTATACTTACACAGTTAAGATCCTCTGCCTCAAAAACCAAACCAAATCAAAATAAAACAATTATTGGGGATGGAGTGGTTACCACGAGAGGTGCAGCTCAGTAGCAGACCTTTATACTTGGCATGAAAGAGAACCTGGGTAAGTGTGAGTGAGTGTGTGTGTGTATGTGTATGTGTGTGTGTGTGTGTGTGTAAAATGCTATTAGGGGGTCCAGCACAATGGGCCTAGTAGGTAAAGGTTTGTTATGTGCTAAAACTTTTCCTGGGGAGACAAAACATACTTGTCTACTCATCCCAGATATGGAATCCGCTACCAACCAAATACCTCCAAAGTCCAACTTAGTAAACCAACAAGTTTTTTGGGGCTTACTTACAGGGATATGGGTGAGGGATTACTTTTAGGAGCAGAAGTGTCTCAAAGACAACTGCATCACCAAGGCCCACCCCAGCATGAGTGACAGCTCACAAAACCTGGGAAGCCTGAAGGACACCAAATAGCCTGCAGGCAGCTCAGCAGGTTGGAGAGTGTCCTCCCCACAGCGGCAGCTCAGCTGGTCTCAGACTCCTCTTTGCAGCTTGTCTCCTAGGAGAGTCTTCTTTGCAGCTTGGCTCTGTTTACTCTGCCAGGGAGTGGCCTAGTGAATCCAGTCCATTTCAGGAAGTTCCTGAAGCTCTTTTGCTGTGAAGTCTGACAATCTGAGTAGGACTCTTACCTTGTGATTGTCCTCTGACCCTCCCACATGTCTACCACGACAAGCACACACTCATCTGGAGACAAGGTCTCACTGTGTAGTTCTGGTTGTCCTATAACTCACTACGTAGACCAGGCTGGCCTCAAACTCACAGAAGGCTGTCTGCCTCTCTCTCCTGAGTACTGGGATCAAAGTGTGAACACCATGACCAAAAGGCTACTAGGCAAGGCTAGAAAGACAGTCCCATGATTAAGAGCACTTAGCTGCTCTTCCTGGGGTCTCTGGTCCAGTTCCCAGCACTCATGCCGAGGGGTTCATACCCACCTATAACTCCAGTTCCAGGGGATCCAACACCCTCTTCTGGCTTTTGCGGGCAGCTATACATACATGCACACACATACATGCAGACACACCCTCGTATTCATAGATAAAAATGAATCTAAAGAAAGAGAACTAGAAACATAATGTTGACCATGAAGAAATATAGGGAGGGAGTGTTGATGGTTTTGTTTAGAACAGTTGGAAGCGTCTTGATTGTATCACCCATCATCTCATTTTTTTGCTAATAGTCATCTGGAGTGACTGAGAAGTTTCTCCATTTCATAGGGGAAAAATCAAATAATTGTGTTTCTTATTGGTTTGTTTTTTTTTCTTTCTCTTTTGTTTTGGACAAGGTCTCATGGAGCCCAGGTTAGTCTCAACCTTCTATGTAGCCAAGGATAGCCTTGAACTCCTCATCTTCTTACCTCTACCTCAAGAACACCGGCCTGCACCATATAAAGCTGTTTTAGACCCCAGGCTTCTGATCTAATTCCATTGCTGTAACAAACCATTGTCAAACTCAGGGGCCTTAAACAACATTTATTTTGCTTACACAGCTACACTTGGGGCAGAGCTCTGTGGAGAAAGCTCTTCCCGAATCTCCTTCACAACATATACCGTACACGAAGAGAGAAGATGGAGCCGGAGCAGTGGCTGCTCTTACAGAGGATCACAGTTGAGTTTCCAGCACCCTCATGGTGTAACTCCAGTTCCAGGGAATCTGACACCTTCTGGTCTCTTCAGGTACACACACACACACACACACACACACACACACACACACTGGAAGTTACAGTCATGCACACTCTTAAATAATAAAAATAAGTTAAAATAAATAAACAAAGGTCCAGGGGAGCATTCTCTGGCACCTTCGAGGTGACATTTAAGTAGTGAGCAGCAGGAAGTGAGGGGGCCTAACTGAACCGCGAGCTCACAGCGCCAGTCATTGGGAGGTGGTTGGCATCAACTTCTCCCCCTTGCTGCCAGCACAGCGTTCCTCACACTTGCATCCTGTCACTGCCCACTAGCCAAACTTGCACCTGTGATGTTCCTGGCACAGTTCCTGAGGTCCAGGGCTGGCACAGCAGCAGCGGAATCCTCTGAAAACTCCACATTCAAATGTGGAAACAAAAGTTTGGGGGTCCTGATGCCACAGGCTTCTCAGGCCAGGTCAGCAGGTTCCAACTCCCAGAGATGCAACCCTCTTGGGATCTCTAGGCTCTGGTCACCCTCAGAGCCTAGGGCCCAAGGGACCACAAGGACATGCCAAGGACACAGCCTAGGGCAGACCTAGACTATCTGGGTGATGTCAGCTGTCTGTGACTTTTTTTTTCCCCGAGACAAGATTTCTCTGTGTAGCTTCGGAGCCTGTCCTGGCACCTCTCACTCTGTAGACCAGGCTGACCTCGAACTCACAGAGATCTAGCTGCCTCTACCTCCCGAGTGCTGGGATTTACAAAACCAGGAGACTCTAGCATGCTACTAAAATAAAAACATGGGATAATATATATTATATATATATATGTATATATATATTATATGTATTTGTGGCATGGTCTTGCTGTGTGGCATAGATAGACTGGCCTCAAACCTGATTGGTCTCCCAGGTGTGGAGATTACAGATGTGAACCACCACAGCTGGTGTCTTAGGTTTCTACTGCTGTGATGAAGACACTACTACCAAAAGCAGTTTGGGAAGGAAAGGGTTTATTTGGTTTATATGTCTGACCACAGTCCATCACTGAGGGAAATCAAGGTAGGCACTGAATTAAGGCAGGAATCTGGAGGCAGGAACTGAGTCAGACAGAGGCCATGGAGAGGTGCTGCTATTGGCCCGCACCCCAAGGACACCTGCTCATCAGTGGCACAACCCCAGTAAACTGGGCTCTCCATGACAATCATTAATCAAGAAAATGCCTTATAGGCTTCCCAATAAGCAATCTGTTAGAAGCATTTTCTCAGTTGAGGTTCCTCCACCCAGGTAACTCAAGCCTGTGTCAAGTTCACAAAGAAGTAACCAGGACAGTTGGTAAACAATGCCCTTTCTTGTACCTCACCTGATCCAGGCGTGGCTGCAGGAGGGTCCTACCCCACTTCGCAGAACCCTTCTCTCTGGCTCCCATGTATCCATCCTCAACCCTGTTAATCAAGTCTGCATTCCCGCACCTGGAGTGGCTCAGTTCTCCCGACCTCCATTCCTCCTCTGAACCAGGCTTTCCCAGGTGACCTCTGCCCACCTGCATACAACACTGATGGTCAGACCATCCAACAGAAAGAAAAGGCATGTTTTTTTGTTTTGTTTATAATTTATCTTATTTTACTTTTTTTTTGAGACAGTATCTCATATAGCCCAGACTGAGCCTTGAACTTACTTATTTATTTATTTATTTATTTATTATGTATACAATATTCTGTGTGTATGTCTGCAGGCCAGAAGAGGACACCAGACCTCATCACAGATGGTTGTGAGCCACCATGTAGTTGCTGGGAATTGAACTCAGGACCTTTGGAAGAGCAGGCAATGTTCTTAACCACTGAGCCATCTCTCCAGCCCGCCTTGAACTTCTTGTATAGCTTAAAGCTGGCCTTGAACTCTTGCTGTTTGCCTTTGCTTTCTTTTTTATTTTTTAATCTTTTTTAAAGAT